GCCCTGCCTGCCCTGCCTGCCCTGCCCGCCCTGTGCCCTGCCTGCCCTGCGCCCTCCCTGCCCAGCTCCCTGCCTGCCCTGCCTCCTGTTTGCCCCCCTTGCCCTGCCTGCCTCCTTCCCCCGCTCACTGCCTCCCCTGTCTCCCTGTCCCCTGCCTCTGCTGCTTGCCTCCCCTGCCTGCCCTGACTCCCTGCTCCCTGCCTGCCCTGCTCTCTGCCTCTTACCTGGCCTGCTTCCTCCGTGCCTCCTTATTCTGCTCCCTGCCTCTCCTGCCCGTCCTACCTCACTGCTCTCTGCCACCCTGCCTCCTTCCCCTGCTCCCTGTCTGCCCTGCCTCTCTTCCTTGCCCTGATCCCTGCCTGTCCTACTTCCCCTGCCTGCACTGCTTTTCCTCCCTGCCCTGCCTGTCCTACTTCCCTTACCTCCCCTTACTCCTCTGCTTCCTCTGCCTCCCCTGCCTCTCCTCCCTGCCCTGCTTCCTGCCTCCTGCTCTGCCTCTTCTGCCTCCAGTCCTCCTTGCCCTGCTTCTCTGCCTCCTGCCTTCCTGTTTTCTGCCTTCCCTGTCAACTCTCCTCCCTGCCCTGCTACCTTGCCTCCTTTCCTCCCTATCCCTGTTTCCCCCCATTCCTCATTTTCCTGCCCCTTCTTCCCCTCCTGTCTTCCTTCTCCATCACCAGCCTCAATTCTCCCTGAAAGAGGGCATGGGGCCTCGAAAAATCAGCTCAGCAGCCCAGGAGATGGGCAAGCAGGGGAAAGAGCACAAGTTGGAAGGGGAAGTCCAGATCCAATTTGAGAGCAGGGAAGAGGTGACAGGGATGGAGGGGAAAGGGTTAAAACCGGGAGTTCGGGCACCACGTAAGGACTCCCCAGTCAAGTGCTGACGGATAGGAGCTTGCCAAACAGCAAGCAGATACCTGTTTGCTCCTCAGCAAATTGATGCCTGTTTTGAGCAGGTTCATTCAACCCATAGGGGGATGAGGGATTAAGGGGAGGGGGGAATGTGCCAGGTCAGTCAAATGTTCTGCTTTCCCAATGGCAAACAGTGACGAATAATGGGTGCGGGGAAGAAGTGGGGTTATTACTGCTGCACTGTGGATCCTTTGCAGCAGGAAGTCCAGAATTAAGTTGTGGTCTCTGCAAGCAGTGAGGGTGTTCAGAGAGGGCTTCATGCAGAAAATAAACACAAAGCAAATAATGGCTGGAGAAACCCCATGCGTGCTACTGGCCCGACTTTAATTCTATTTGCAATGGTTTAATCCTGGGAGGGTGGGGAAGGTCATAAGAGAAAGGGAGCTTTCCCTTTTCAAAATGCTGATTCCTTAATCTAAACAAGCTCCAGGAATAATGAAGTTAAGAAGCAGATGGCTAGTCGTTGTCCATCACTAAACAGTGACTGGATCATATTTGGAAGGAAAAATTAAATTACAGAAAGGGTGCTTGCATGTGCTTTCAGATGATAACATGGATTTTCTCCGGTACTAAAAGTTAATGCAATGTCAACATCTAAATGACGTATTATGTAAGAGTATTATGCCATGCACTGCATAGCAAAGGTAAAGGTTTACTTTTTCATATAATGATGTCAGATAACCTTATAGAGCTTTCCCTGGTTTGCAGTCTGTATCCCAGCTTGAAGTTTACAGGGGCAACTTGTGTTATAAGCATAATCAGGTCTGATATGTATCTGTTAGAAAATGCTGCCGATTATTCTAAGAATTCTACTGACTCATCCAGCTCTGAAAACTACTGAATATTTTCTAAAAATTACTCTTGTAAGCCATATGCAAAACAATGAAAGATATTACAACCTTTCCCCAAAACCTTCTTTCTTTATTATATCATCATTTATAACTTAAAATCTGGTGCAGAGACCAGATACTCTTATACTGAGTAGAACTGAGTGCTGCTGAGTAGGAGTGTAAGTGGTGTAATTGAGTTCAGCAAGGGAGGAACTGCAGAACCCACCCCATTGCACTGGGTCATAATTCCTTAAACTCTGTGTGCTTTGAACACAGAAGTTGTTTCATTGAAACATGTAACAGCAGCCTCCTCATCTTCCAAAAGAGGACCACGTCAGTTAAAATACAAATGATCAGCCTCATAAAAGGATGGAGAATATTTCCTTCAAACTCAGACTGTAAACTAATGCATCTGTTAATTTAAGTGTGCAGTTACTGAAGCAATTGTGCTATTGTTTGGGAAGCAAATATTATTTTCTCTCACAGCCCATTGCTGTGGTGTCTGGCACATACACAAAGAAGATATGACAATTGGGTGCTACTTGTAAAAAAAAAGAAGCAACATCAGTTTTTTATGGAGTGGGAAGTTCAGTGAGCAGAAGTTCACATAGTTTTTGGCAGATGAGTTGTAAGTCCTTTCCTTCTTGATACTAACACTGCTCTGAGGAATTTCCAAACAGTTTTGATTTTTTGTGTTTGGTTTGGTTTTTTTTCCTTCCATAGGATTTATGGAAATAAACTCCTTAAGCCTGATATGTTCCTCCACTGAGAAAACAAACCCACAAAGTAATATCAAATTATAATAAACTTATTTTCTACAATTTTGGGACAAGTGTCTGTGTGCAGATCTTTGTGTTTGTGCTCAGACTTCAATAGGAGTGGGAGAAAAAAACTAGAGGATTGCATGAATTCCTGTGTGCAGAAATCCCTCCCTCTTTCCTTTCTCCCTTTCCTCCCTTCTTCCTTCCCTCTTTTCCTTCCTTCCTTCCTTGCCTCCATCCTGCCCTCCTTCCCTCCTTCCCTCCTTCCTTCCTCTCTGCCCTTGCCTTTCCCTCCTTCTCTTCCTCCCCCCACTGCCACCCCACAGGATGATGGATGCCTTTCTCTGGCATCATGTATAAAGCAGAACTAAGTCAGCCACTAATAGGGCAATGATACATCACCATTGCATTTCATATTTTTTAAAGGAACTTAATTTTTAAAATGTGGAGCAAAAGAACTGTAAAATTAGATAAACTTCATGTTATCAAAGGTGTGGGACTAAATATCTCAATAATGTTTTGTTCCTTCTTCTGTATATCTTTGTGCAGATGTTGTAACACAACTTCTACAGTGCATTTAGGGATTTTCAGGCACCAGTATTACGATCCTATGCTATCAGATACACAGTTTAATTATTAGGCTTGGGGGTTAGAATTCATGTTTTGCATACTGCTGATAATTTCGGCTGCAAGAAGTTTCTATAGTATTGGAGAAAGTGACCGCTTTGTCCAATAGCGGCCAGGATGCTTTTTGCATGGTGACACTTGGAGTAGTTCATGACTGACATGGAAGTCCCTTGGAGCCTGCTGCTTCTTTGACATGCCACAGGACAGGCCTCATGTTCCCATAGGGATTTGCAGTTTATCTCTGGTTGATGAATACTGAAAACTTTAAAACTATGATTTGGAGAAAGAATGAGGCAATCTCATTAAGCTCATGGCCGTTTTGTTTAAGTTTTCATTTACAAGTTGTTTAAGTTCCCCTCCTCTGCATGTGATTCTATTCCTTAATATTCAGGTAGGCAATAAGTTTTGCACATTTCAGGTCAAAAGATAATGAGGCAATATTTTAATTTTATGTCTATTAGACAACCTTGTCAGTCTCTCCTCATGCCTGTCAGCTTGTAGCAACAGCAGGACAGCTGCAGGTCGGTGTTGCAGACGTGCCTGCCCTATGTACTGTGCAGAGAGCTGCAAATATCAGCTGAGTTGCTACTGTGTTTTGTGCTGTGCCATGGCTAAATTACCACTGCTGGACAGTTAGATGTGGCCCAAGGGTAACCGACTCAAGCTAACAAGAAGATTGCAATATTAGGGGACTAGGAATGTGTGATGTAGTTTTTACTGAACTGAAAGAAATGTTAGTTTTTGTACCTGAGCAAGGAGATCGCATCCTGGGAAAGTGTGAGAAACCATCAAATTCCCCATACAGCTGTTACAGTTACACATATTCACTCTTTTCATATTGAAGAGAAGCAACTATTCCCTAGGGAAGGTTTACAGGAGTACCAGGACTTGAAGGAGAAAGGCATGCAATATTTAACTTGTTTGGGTTCATTGGGAGAACCTAACCCCTTAGGGAAGGGCTACAGGAAAGCAGGAGATGTTCATAGTAATGAGGACTGGTGTGGCCACACCTGGAGTACTGTATCCAGGTCTGGGCTCCTCAGTAGAAGAGAGGCATGGACATATGGGAGAGAGTTCAACAAAGGGCCACAAGGATGATGAAGGGACTGGAGCATCTCTCCTATGAGGGAAGGCTGAGAGCTGGTACTGTTCAGCCTGGAGAAGAGCAGGCTCAGGGGGATTTCATTAACGTGTACAAATACCTGAAGGGAGGATGCAAAGGGGACAGAGCCAGGCTTTTTTCTGTGGTGCCCAGTGACAGGACAAGAGGCAGTGGGTACAAACTGAAACCTAGGAGGTTCCCTCTGAATGTAAGGAAGCACTTTTTTACCATGAGAGTGACCAAGCACTGGCACAGGTTTCCCAGATAGGGTGTGGAGTCTCCCTTCTTGGAGATACTCAAAAGCTGTCTGGACACGGTCCTGGGGAACTAGCTCTAGGAGGCCCTACTTGAGTGGGGGGTTGGACCTGATGCCCTCCAAAAGTCCTTTACGATCTCAGCCATTCTGTGATTCTATAATAACCTGGGCAGCAGTCAGACTATTGGACTTGGGATATGATATAGACATGTTCGGAACCCCCACAGGGGTGTTGCTCTTTCCAAAAACATAAAGAAATGGTACATTTGGGGGGTCTTAATTGTGCCATTGAAGCTTAGGGGGATTACACTGGGGCCACTAGGAACATTGCAGTCTACGTCTCCGTTTCCTTGTGTGCAGCATGGCTTCACATTTTTCTTATGATGCAGAGCACTATGCATAAGGGGTAAAGATTGCCCAGATGTTAACGCGTAAGTTTGCGGATCAGGAGACATATGGTCTGTTCCCAGATCTGTGAAATGTGTCCTCTGTGATCTCAGGCAAATCACTCAGGGCTGTACTTCTCCCTACTGTCTGTGGAGGATGCCAGGATCCCACAGCCAAAGACAAGAGAGAGTCAGTTTTTCTCATCACTCTCTTAAAATTAGTTCACGGAGTTGCGGTATGTCCCTTTCTCTGTCTAAGCACTCCATTTCCAATGGGTGTTCCTATTAAGGTACCACAAGGCCACAAAATGCCATACAAGCAATTCCTATAAGTACAGCTAGGGATTCATCCTCCCCTGCCATTATGGAGCAATCCCTGCTAAGCAGAACGTAGCCCCAAGATGTTTTCCACAGTTAACATCAAAATATTTTTTAAAAAGCAATTTAATGAGATGACACCCACACTCTGAGATGAAGTCATTCTAGATTACCATTTTCCCTCCCTCCCTGCCCACTCCCTTCTTTTCTGGCATCATTTTAGCAGCTAATATCTATATGAATGCCAGGAGTTAGGAATTATATAATGAGACAAATCATAACAGTGATGCCTATTAATACCAGGTGAGGATCAAACCCTGGTTCCTTCCCCATTTGAAAGCTGTGGTAATGAAATTTCACATGGCATATAGCTTTGGACTGAATGGAAATCACTTAGTAGACAGAGGCAACTAAAATCTTTCTGGAACTGAAGTGGATGGGGAAGGGCCAAACGGACATGAGGACAGTGCTTCAAGAGACAAATGGTATTGCAGGGACAGCTAAGCGGGCACGAACAAAATGATCCAGACAAGCATCATCATCACTGAAAGCAGGTTTTGGCCAATTTTCCAGGGGTTGTAGAGCAAATAGGGGTTGAATGTTCATCCAGAAGCTGTCATTGAAGAGAGAGCAGTAAAACATATTAAGATCTTTGGACAGAACGTGCTGTATATACTTCCTTACGATATTATTTTCATTTTAGTTAATTAGTAAGTGTTAATGTAGATTTTATTATTAAATACATTTTATTTTTGAGGGTCAGGCAAAAATATAAGCTGTTTGTCTGAAGACTGTATCCCACTTTCAGTATTTTACCCATCCTAAAGCCACTCTCTGTCCCCTGTCATTCTCTTGTTGGGACTGAAAATGAATAAGCTAAAATGGTCTGTGACACCACAGTTTTGGTGGAAATTTCCCCTTTTTTCCCTCTATTAATATGTTGCGTTTCTAACCTCTGTTAATTATTTTTCCTTGTTTAAAGCTGGGTTTTGTTCCTTTGGAGGGATGATTTATTGTAAGTGGCTGTGAAAAGACATTAGGAGAGCAAATAGTCCTTTGGGAACAAAGAGTCACAACACAGAAAAACAGCTGTTGAGACTGTAACAAAGAGTCTAGTGTGCCAACACACAGCAACAATATTCAAGACAGGGAAAAAAAGGCTTGCATCTTCATTTGGAAAAAAACCCAATAAACATAGAACAAAGATGTAAACATCTGAAAAATTGGCAGATGGATCAGAGCTTTTGAGAGGTGAAGTTGCCATGTGTGGGAGGGGGTGAAAATGGAGAAGGTGCTTCTGTTATACCTTCAGGAATCAGAATAAATCAGTACCATTTGAGAAAGCACAATGACAATTAAACTGGGTAGCTATGGAACATTAAATTTATTGTCAAAGTAAGCAGTTGGAGAACCAAATCATCCACTGATGTAAATCAGAAGCCTTCTAGTCAATGGTGCTAGAGTGGATTACTAACCTCGTGATTTGTGTTATGATTCAGACAGCGACAACATTGTTCATACATATTTTGGATTATTTTGCAATATATAACATTACAGCAGTGAAGTATTTTAGTGCAGTCTGTTCTGGCTGATATTCAGGATAATCTATAGAGGCTCTCCTGTAAGCTGTAACCCATGGTTATAGCTCAGCTCACTGTCAGAAAACTCTGAAATGCATTAAAAAATTTCTCTTTTCTTAGACTGAGTATTTGTAAGTTGCTTTTTGGCAACAACATCTGACAGGAGCAGACCATATCTTCCTCACCCTGGAATCATCCTGGGCATGAAGGGTGCTAATCTACTAAAATAAGGTAAAAACAGTAGGAAATTTTAATAAATATAAGTAACATAATTTTTGACATGAAATGCTTGGCGATCCTATAAGAAAATCTGAAGGGCCAGACTTTGTCTCCTTGGTCTATCACCATTTTCTTCTGGAACAGACTGCAGCTGACCTTTTAAGAATTTGCCTTATTTCCAAAGAAGGATCTTGGTGGAGGTGGCAGTTAGAAGAGCAGAGGAAGGGAGAGTTTTACTGCCATAAACTTTTAGAAGATGGATGAATTCACTGGGGGGGGGGGGTGTGTGTCACAGTTAACTGCCACAAGTCCTTGGACCTATTAGAACAGGTCCAGAGAAGGGCCACAAAAATGGTCAGAGGGCTGGGACACCTCTCCTGTGAAGAAAGACTGAGAGAGTTGGGGTTTTTTCACCCTGGAGAAGAGAAAGCTCTGGGGAGACCTTATCGTGGCCTTTCAGTACTTAAAGGGGGCTTATAAAAAAGGTGTACAGAGACTTTTTACTAGGGCCTGCAGTACCAGGACAAGGGCTAAAAGTTTTAAACTGAAAGAGGATAGATTTTGATAGGATATAAAGAATAATTTCTGTACTGTGAGGGGGCGAGACACTGGAACAGGTTGCCCAGAGAAGTTGTGGGTGCTCCGTCATTCAAAGTGTTCAAGGTCAGGTGGGATGGGCTCTGAGCAGCGTGATCCAGTGAAAGATGTCCCTGCCCATAGCAGGGGGGTTGGACCAGATGATCCTCACTGGTCCCATCCAACCCAAACCACCCTGTGATTCCATGATTTTGTGATCCTAAGTCACAGAAGCTCCAAAGGTGTTTCAATTCATACTGTGCCCTGAGCCAGAGCTGATGCAGAACCCAGATAAGCTCCTTGCTTCCACCCCTCTGCCAAGCATCCTTGAGCACAAACAGAATCCTTACTGTATGACTTGCTGTTAAAACCAGGGAGGGAACCAGTCCTTACACTACGCTCCCCCAATGACAGTGTCATACTTAAATACACCTAGTTTCCCTAACTAGCTGATGGAGGCAATTGTAACTAAAAATGTGATTTATAAAAGAAAATGCTAATGCCACCATTAATTTGAGATCTTAAGCACAAAGTATGGGCCTGGTTTCCCCATGGCCTGCATCAATTTTACATCAGTGGAATTCAGCTGATACCATCAGAGTTATCCTAATTTGGTCTAATAAAGGCAAGAGCAAAGGAAATAGCTGTTACTTTATTTTTATATGTGCAATCCACCCTTAATACAACTCTCATTTCTTTAAGAATTGAATAACCTGCACCCATAGATTACCCCTCAAAACTTCAGGGCTTGTTTTTTCTGGAGTCATTTGCACTCTGTAGTGCCTTGTCAAAGGCAGCCAGCCTTCTTTCCTCCCAGCTCTGCTTTTTCCCAAGTTTTCCCAGGCTGATCAATCACCAGATACTCTGCCCTGCAGGTAGCTCTTCTCAACTCCAGCTCCACAGTGAATACAGAAAGAGGCTGCTTAACAAACTCTCCTTTGTATCACCCACAGACAAATATAATGCACATTGCTATTAAATGAAAAGCTTATCTCCCACCACAAATGTCCTTTAAGCAAATATGCAGAAACTCTCTGTATTCAGATTTCGGGATCTCATCCTGGGGCTGCAGCTGTGGCATTTAAAATGTAGTTTTTATCGATGACATGCAAGGTCACAAAACAGGGAACTCAGGCATCCCTTGCGCTGATTGACTTCCAGGTCCTGCAATGTAACTTTCAGCAGCCCCTGGACAAAGAAATACTCTGACTGCTGCTGTCCTCTTTGATATGAGAAGGCTGCACCCAGGGAAGTAGCTGAGTGAAATGGTTGTTTTGCTATAAATAATTCATAGCTTTCCAAACAGCTTTCTTCAAATACAGTAAAGTATGTCTTTCACTGAGGGATTCCCTTTTAATTTTTAAAACCAATTTTTCTTTTTTGGAAATTAGAAAGACAGAGAGATCAGTTAAGTGGTGGGGTTTTTTGTTTGCTTGTCTGTTTTTGTGATGGCTGAAAAATTGGATGGATCTTGATCTTTCTTCACATACATTTCACATTGGAACAGACCTTGATCTCATTTCACCCAACTGTAACTACACAGACTTCGATGACAGCCTCTTGCTAATTATGTCACTGAAATGTAAGAGATTCACTGTACCATTTTGCTCATACATAACAGCTTAAGCAGCTTTTCTTCTAACACTTGTAAAAACAAATTCTAGGTAAAGTACAGGAATGAAAATTAAATTCAGAGCTAGGTATTCAGGAAAGCTACAAGATAGTGAAAAAAAGAATCTGGACTAAAATACATCTCTTTTCAACTAAAACACCAACCCTGTCAGATTAGACTCATAAAACACTTTATTCATGGGGAGTTTCTCATGAAGATGTATTAAGTCTCAATGGGAGATATTTTCAGTGAGGTTTTATTAAGTAGAAAATACCCCTGACATTGGTGGGGTGTTGGGTTTTTTTTAGCCAGTTTTATGATCAGCTCCTGGGCTAATTCAAGGAAAGCTACAAGCCAATAGTATAGGTGATAAAACCAAATCAAACAGTTGTTATGATAAGTGTGAATCTGCATACTTAGGAAGCTGAAATGTAGTTCCTGTTAGGGGTGGAAAAACTACAATTATTTTTGCTTTTGTCATCCTGGGCTTGAACATATGGGATGCTGAACTCCCACACTTCTATAAGAAAACTTTGCAAAGTGTGTTCTAATAGTAAGTTGAAACAACTTCATATTAATTGTCAGTTAATCAGATTGCCTTTCTGAAAGCTTGAATATATACATTCAAGATGTCAGTGACTGCCCTATCTTAAGTGTACCCATTCTGAAATTATTTCACTGTTGTCCTTTTACATATGAAACACACAAAGCAATTTTATTGCCATATAAAGTTCAGAAATGCATTCCTGTAAGCTTTATATACAAATTTAATCTTTCTTTTATATATTTGCTTTTTCTTTTAGTAAGTGATGGAATAAACAACACTTTCCTTTGGATGGATTATACTACATGTGAACTGCCTGTTACTCTTTCTGCAAGAATAAGAAAAAGCCCTTCGCTTTCATTTGTTGAATACCAGCTTGATAGCAAAAAGCTTCTGAATGGCTCACACTCACAGCAGACCATCAATTGAATGGGATCAGCCATTCTCCTACTAAAATATCTGAAGTTAAGGATTTGGAAAAGAGGTTTTGAAGAGATGACCCATTTACAAGCTGGACTTAGTCCAGAGACTATAGAAAAAGCCCGCCTGGAACTGAATGAAAACCCAGACATTTTGCATCAGGATATCCAGCAAGTCAGGGACATGATCATCACGAGGCCCGACATTGGGTTTTTACGTACAGATGATGCCTTCATCTTGAGATTTCTCCGAGCCAGAAAGTTTCACCAAACTGAGGCCTTCAGACTGCTGGCTCAGTACTTCCAGTACCGCCAATTAAATCTGGATATGTTCAAAAACTTCAAGGCTGATGATCCAGGAATCAAACGGGCTCTGACAGATGGATTCCCAGGAGTACTGGAAAATCGTGACCACTGTGGCAGGAAGATTCTTCTGCTTTTTGCAGCCAACTGGGATCAGAGTAGGTAAATGTAGATAGTGTCCTTATCTTTTCACATACACTTACACTCAACTTGTAATTGAGTATTTGTGACCATACTTAAAGCAGCAAGGCCATTTTTAGTGGAATATTTTGTAACCATGAGTCCATTTCACTAGAACTTCTATCTGATCTGATCACCTCTCATTCTTCAGACATAACACCATTGAGAGACAAGGGTATATCATAGAATCATAGAATGGTTTGGGTTGGAAGGGACCTTAAAGATCATCTAGTTCCAACCTCTCTGCCATGGGCAGGGACACCTTCCACTAGACCAGGTTGCTCAAAGCCCCATCCAACCTGGCCTTAAACACTTCCAGGGATGGGGCATCCACAACCTCTCTGGGCAACCTGCTCCAGTGTCTCGCCACCCTCACAGCGAAGAACTTCTTCCTTACATCTAATTTAAATCTACCTTCTTTCAGTTTAAAGCCATTACTCCTTGTCCTATCACTACGTGCCCTTGTAAAAAGTCCCTCTCCGGCTTTCTTGTAGGCCCCTTTAGGTACTGGAAGGCTGCTATAAGGTGTCCCCGGAGCCTTCTCTTCTCCAGGCTGAACAACCCCAACTCTCTCAGCCTGTCTTCACAGCAGAGGTGTTCCAGCCCTCTGATCATCTTTGTGGCCCTCCTCTGGACTCACTCTAACAGGTCTCTGTCCTTCTTCTGTTGGGGGCCCCAGAGCTGAATGCAGCACTCCAGGTGGGGTCTCACCAGAGCAGAGTAGAGGGGGAGAATCACCTCCCTTGACCTGCTGGTCACGCTTCTTTTGATGCAGCCCAGGATACGGTTGGCTTTCTGGGCTGTGAGTGCACATTGCCAGCTCATGTTTAGCTTCTTGTCAACCGACACCCCCAATTCCTTCTCCTCAGGGCTGTTCTCAAACCACTCCTCACCCAGCCTGTATTCGTGCTTGGGATTTCCCGGACCCATGTGCAGGACCTTGCCCTTGGCCTTGTTGGACTTCATGAGGTTTGTATGGGCCCACCTCTCAAGCCTGTCAAGGTCCCTCTGGATGGCATCCTTTCCCTCCAGCGTGTTGACCGCACTACAGAGCTTGGTGTCGTTGGCAAACTCTCTGAGGATGCTCTCAATCCTACTGTCCATGTCACCGACAAAGATGTTAAACAGAGAAAAAAACTACTAGCTTTTTATACAACACACTGATATTTAGTGACACACTATCAGTGTGTCAAATAAATAGCTCATCGTTTTTTTCCATAAATATTTACAGTTTTAGCCAGATAATGTCTGTTTGCTACAAATACATTAATACCTATTATATAATTGCTTCAGCAATATCACAGACTAGCTGAACAGGTTGACAGAAAGCGAATGTCTCAAAACATATGGGGGTTCTCATAGCAGTTCTGGTGCAGAAGGAACTGACCATATTTATCCTGTCTCCAGACTTTGTTTTGTTTTGTTTTGTTTTAACCATTTCAGGTATTACAGTCTGTGTTATGAGATTTCCACAAACTGCATTGTAATTTCTACACACTCTCATTACTGTATGCTCGTTAGACTGATAAATGGGAGATTCATGCAAAGTGTATTTTCTGTTCAGGTCATTTCTCTACAGAATAGTATGAACAAAGATATCTCCCAGCCATTATTTTAAAATGATGTCCTTAAATGTTAATGTGATTAGTCAGCTTTCACTACCTATTTGAAGTGATACAGAGAAAAGGGGCTAGTCCAGGAACATCATGTTCACATTGTCCTCTTCATCAGAAGTCATTCCAGTCCATTTTCCCTGCCTTCACAGTGAGATGGAGAAATGTAATCAGCTGTAGGATTGCCATGTGCTCTTTTGATAAAAATCAGACCAAAACCCAAAATTCAGATTCAGTTTTTGTGTATCATAAATTCTGATGAGTTCCAGGTAGGATTTTGTCTCAGCAGTCTAAAGTTGTCCATGAAAATGTCTCATCTTTAGGAGTCAATAGATCAGAGCTTTGATTTTATGTTACAGAAATTGTTAGAGAACAATACACAGATACCTGCAATTTTTCATGTTTGTTGTCTTCTGGGAAAACCTTTCATCTCCATGTGAAAACAGAGTTCAGAAGTGTTTCTAATTTTCCTCTGCATGCACAGATCTGGTAAATAAATGTACAGAAAATGTTACAGAAATGCAACTTTGCATATACAAAAGTATTTGGTGAAATCCAGAACTGAAGCCAGTGATAAAAGTCCTATTAACTACAAAGTGGCCAGCAGTTTATCTCCTGTCTTTCTGAACTGTGAGCTTGCCTTTCTTCCAACCACAAAACACTTCCTTTAGCAATTGGCCTAGAAAGAAAGATGAATGAACAGGTATCTTGAATAAATAGAAAGTATCAGCTTTAGAGGACAGAAGCACTGTAGCTCTGCTGGTTGCATTAAGGGATTTAGGTATTATACAGAGCCAGCTTTGGGTTTCTGATCCCTCAACAAAATGAATCCTTGTGATTAACCTCGTACATCAGGTCCTGCTCTTGGAAAGCTGAGTGCTGCTGTCTAAGGCTCCTGCAATAAGACTTTGACAGAACATTGATTCCTGTCAGATTTTGGCTCAAATTTTCTGCAGGTCCTTAATATGCATCCATGTATATGTGTGTGTGTGCAAAAACCAAAGTGATCCTGCATGCAAGATACCTGGTTTCTGAAAATGTAATTTTAACCTTCAGAGAAGAAAGGCTGAGGCAAATAGGATATACTTTCCTAAGGCTCCTCAGTGAAATTAAAAATCAAGTGCAAATTTTACCTCTGTTCAGCCACTGAAGATCAACTCCTCTATGGATTCAAATGACAAGAAGTGTCATTTCTGTGGGCTTTTGTAGTTCTCCAAGTGCAACAGGGATTTGGGACAGGATTTGGGCTGTAAGTAAATAGAGGGATGACCTCTTCCTTTTTTACTGTCTAAAGGCATCATCAAGAGCAAAAGCTGTTAAGGAACAGGAAGTTATGAGTGCAATGTCTTATTAAGAAGCAGGGAAACAGGTTATTCACCAGAAGAAATATATATTCATACATATTTCACAAAAATCCTTGAACAAACAGGCAATGTGTATATCTTACACACGTGTATCTTGGGCAACCTTTCTATAGATGTGTCTTCAATGATGGAAAGATGTTTATAAGCTTACATTTCAGCTGAATGCTAATGCAATCAATTCATATGATGCTGTGATGCTAACATGCTAGAGAAAGAGCTCAGCCTCAGCTTGTCTTTCCTAACTTTAATCTCATTTGCAGTTGGCTGTGTCTTCTCTTTCTTTACGATTAAATCATAATTTATAAAGAAATCATAATTTAGAAAGGATAGTGTAAAATCAGCATAGCTATAATCCATAAACTGATTTTCATTCCAGATATTCTTACCATTTATACTCCTAGGAGTATGGTGACTGTAGGGATCGCATGTCAAGGAGGCAGAAGCAGCCTCATTTGTCTTACAAATCTATTGATTTTTAAAAGAAAATGTCATTATTTGTGTAATGTGACTGCTTGGACAAATCAGATCCAAGATGTTTTTAAGGGATTCCCTGTATCAAAGATAAAACTTCTATATGAGCTTTTAGAAACATTTGTAACTTCACCTTCAAGAATGTAATTAATTTATAGATCTAACATCTCTACAAAACTAGGTTTTAATTTCCAGTCTCGATGTTTCCAGCTTCAGCTTCCAGCTGCTGGATTGTGTTAGCTTAAAGGGACCACAAAAATATGACAGCTTCCCGTATTTATACTTTCATGTCCTGACCATGTCATCTTTTAACCTACTTTTGAATTCACTGAGGATGCAGCACTGTAGGGTAAGTTACTGTCAGGCAACAAAAAGATAGTACATTAGCTACTCCATAGCAGTGCTTCTTGTGTTCACTTTCAACCATGGTGAATGTAAAACGGCTAACCCCCTTTTCCTTGAGGACAAAACAACCTTGTGTTGTCCACAAGGTAAAGAACATACTTGTGGGCAGCCAGCACAGCAAAGGTAACATTCTGCAAAGTATTGCATTAGCTTAATGTCATGCAGTCTATTTATGCTGCCAAAGCTTAAATAGATTGGACTTCTTCACTCTCAGAATTAGGAAGATTTTTCGGGTTGCTATTACTCTTCATCATTCTTTTCTGGACCTTTCCTATCATTTTAGCATCGTTGCTAATGTGCAGATGGATGAACTGAATGCAAACTTTCACTAATAAACCATCCTGTGGTGACAACATCTCTTCTGTTCAGTATTTCCCTCCTTTTAGATATAAGATTGTCACTGTTTTCTTAGCTACTCTATCACATTTTGAGCTCATGTTCAGCTCAAATCTGCTTCCAAGTCACTGTTTCCTAAAATACAAACACCACTGATAAATGTGTCATACATTCTCATCCATAATGTGGGCACAGTCTAGCATGTGATTCACGCTCTTCTGCAGAGCTAAACCTGTCCTTCTCATCAATTATCATTGCATGGGTTTTGTGACATCTGCAAAGTTCACTGGCAAGAATTTAACTTTTGCTTCCACATCATAGAAAAAGATAATGATTATTTTTTTGACCAAAGCCTCATTGATGACTAGAAAAAAACCCACAAGGAATGATAATTCTTTTTGCCAAATCACTAGCTGAGATCTATCATGGTGCCAGGGTTTCATTCATTTAGTATGTGCTGCATTGGTTCGATTTTGCTCTGGTTTTTTAGACAAGTTTCTTAGAGATGATATCACCAGTTTCTCTATAGGTCCTGCATAGTATATTTTGGATCTATTAGTTAATGTTAATCACATATGATACAGAACAGAAAACTTCAGAAGTATTGAATGAGTGAAAATAAGCAGATGGGTAGAAAAGAAAAAGATCAGATTAGTTCCACACCGAGGAAGAGGAAAATTGTTGAGCTATATTACTGTACATTAGAGAATCCCTGCAGAGGAGGGCCATCATTCACTTTGATCAGAGCTCAGTCCTCAGAGGTGCAGAATAATCCAACTACAAGGTGTAAACTCACCCCAAACCCACAAAGGTTTCACATATACCACTGCTTATTGAGCACCTTATTTTTAAATGGAAATTGTGGAGTAATAAAGACAGACAAGGATGTCAAATTGATCTTGTCAGGAACTTTTTTGATGAAATAATTTGCATCATAACAAATCCCAGTTTGTAAAACAAATACGTGCATACATACAAGCATACAGTTTTAATGAGACCTGAACCAGGATTTCACATAAAAACAGATGTGCCGTGTGCTGGATTACAAATACTCTTTCTCACACTTTTTCATTTCATCAGTCTCACCAAACCTAAGCCCTCACTCCTCTTATGCACCTCTAGTGAAACTGAAGCTTTTAAAGAAGTCAGAGTGCCTTTTCGGCTGTTGGATCAAGGAGGGCCTTTGCTAACTATCGCAGCTGTTCCTAGGTCTGCTACTGCCTTCTAATATATCCTGCTCATACGCCAGGGAGATGGGGGTTTGGGTGAACAAGTAATTCAACAGAAGGTGTTCATTAATCTTCTAAGTAAAGATATTTCCTTCAAGGTTGTTCAGCCAGAGTAAAATTTATTTCTGTGCAGAGAGCCAGCAGAAGGGCTATCTCCAGTCATGATCCTCTGCAAACAGGGTCTTAGGGTAGGGGGGCAGAAGGTTGCCCATTGTCTTTTGCAGTAAAATGGTAATTAATTTCTGTCTTCATGTCTGGACTGTTGTGTCTTAGAAGCTGTTACAGAGCTCCAAAAATTCTGTCAGTCAGTCAGATGGGAAAAGCTGCTAGCCATAAATTGTCTTTTAACCAAGGAATCTCAAATGCCAGATACCTACCATTCTGTAGGAATGTGTATTGAGATAGGATAAAGGGCAAGGAAATACTCTGACATAGTGGTAAACCAACAGCTATAAATATTTTAAAGGATAGTGATAGAAAAAATTATGTCCTTGCTGAGAATGCTCATAGTGGTGTAATTACAAGGATATTATCATCAGCAGATCCTGTTGGTATAAATGAATATGTCTCAAATGCTGATTATTCCAATATATTTCAAGGATAATCTTAGATGCTTAATATAATATAAAGGAATAAACATCTG